ACCCTGCACACTGACCAGAAGCGCTGCTCGCTTCCCTGTTTTCACAAATAAATCGCTAAATATGGAGATGTGGGACATGAGCAACTTGAGAACATTTCCCCCGCTTCTTTTTCTCATCCCCCCTCTCTATGAGAAAACTTCTAGGTCCTCAAAACCATTTCCCTCTGGTGACTTAGAGGTTTTAACAAAAAAATCACACAGACTCCAGCTTCAGTGCTGTTGTGTGGTATAGCCCAGCTTGGTTGCTCTTATGCAGAGAATAAAAACTGCGTTGGGGAAAAAACAAACCAAACCAAACGCATTTGCAGGACAGCGGGGTGGAGAAACAGAGAACAAAGACAGATGCATCTTTAAGATGCCTTTTCCTAAGCATAAGTCGTCATTTGTAGATCCCTCTGGACTTCTAAACGCTCGACACAAAAGATCAGGGCAGCCTTGGCTGCTGTCACCGCTTGGTTTTTTCCATCTCATGCGTGATGCCAAGGTACCCGTGCCGTACCCCGTCCTCGGCCTTTGGAGATGCTCTGCTATCACAAAGTCAAGGCAAGAGTGTTTTAGCTCTGCTCGCTCCAGCCTCCTCCAAGACGGCGCGGGCTCCTGCAGTGGAAAGCAGTTCGGGGCCTGTGTTGCTCCGCTGCAACGGAGTCAGGTCACGGGAGGAAGCACGTATTGCTGAAAAGGCCGTACACCCGATACGGCCTGCTGTAGCTCTGAGATTAACTTTATATATTCAAGTGCAAAAAATTCAAGCTTTGGAGAACAAAAAAAAAAAAAGGCAGAGCTGACTAAGGCAGAAGAGGGATTAGGGAGGCGGTGAAACGTGATGGAAGAGGAGGGGGAGAAGGCGGGGAGGAGGTGCAGCAAGATCCTTATAAACATTGGCACTTGTGTGTGGGGAGCACCTACAATGCCGATCGCTGCCCAGGAAGCAGCTGTTTTTCAGGGAGCTGGCTCTCGTGTGAGATTTCGGCTTTACGCCTCCCCCTTAGTAATCCCCACCCGATGTAAGCCTTCACCGCTCAGCATCCCTGCCCGTCAGCGGGGCTGCCCCTTCTCCCGGCGCTCCTTCCCCTGCCACGCTGCTCTTCAGATGCTGGACTGCTTTCTAGCTGTCCACAACTCCTCCCTGCATGCTTTCAGGTAAAAGGGAGAGCTTCTCCACAAGAGATAGGCACCCAGAAAGGGAATCTTGTGCTCAGGCCACAGAATCTTTTGATTATATAGGCAGAGAGAGGTTTCTGGTATTTTCTAAAATGGGAGAAACACCTTCCCTCAGACCCTCAGGTCTTACACCAGAAACAAAGTCCCTGCACCTGAGACACGTAGGGAGGAGGAACATAAAGACGCAGGTAGAGAATTGCAAAACCCCAGACAGGAATGAAAGGCTCGGGGCCGGTATCTTCCCAGGTAACAAATCCTCTTCCTCATACGATGCTCTTCAGGCTAGAGACGGTCAAACGTTGTCAATGAGAGCAACACCAAATCTTCTTTTCTCCTGACAGTGCTTACCCCGACAGCCTGCTTCTCCAACCTCAGAATGTGAAGCATGACCCAATACTGTCTTTATCCAGCCGTATTTTGTCTTGAAACATTTGCGCTGCTCTTCCCCCAACGTCATCGTGTCATATCTCTACCTCCCATGGCACGAGAGCTGCCCGTGCAGAACTCCTGCCAAAGAGCAAAAGCAACCTGCAGGCAGGGGTGGGAAGGCTCTGCTGTCTGCGTTTAACAATAAACTCACCTCGTTCGGATTAGCAGGCAAACAGAAGAGAAAGCTGCCCAAGATGGGTTGCGTTGAACTGAAAATTGAATTTCAGAGCCTTTTTTGGTAGGGAACTGCTATTGTCCTATTGCAAAAGGCACAATTTTTCAAAGTCATGGTATCCATTGAAGCAAGTAAGGAGAAAAGAAAATGAAGGTTTTAAAAGAATCCAGTAACTCTGGGAGATGTACAGGAGAGAGAAGATGCCTTACATGTCCAGACAGCTTAAGTCCCGCACCAGCTGACCCTCCACCTGCACGGGTGCCTTCTCTAGCCAAAATCCTGGCAATACGAGAGAGGGAGCAACATCCTTTCCATACCCTTCCACAGTACCTCCAAATCAAGAGCTGCGCCGTACTCCGGTGTGGCCAGGAGCATCGCTCCCCAGCCTCAGGCTAACATCATCTACGGTTGTTAAACCGTGTAAGTCAGAAGCCTTTAGATGGTCGCTCAACAGTTAGCAGCAAAAAGCATTCAACTCCCAAGGGAGCTGACCTACAACGCCTAAGGGTGGGCCCAAACCGCCAGAGACCGGAGGCTGGAGTGTAGGTGCCATACAATTCGAGCGGTGTTTGGTACTAATACTGGCTGGAAGGGGGTTTGCAACGATTACTGAATTGCTAGCTTTGACAGAGAGTGTTTGATGGATGCCTGACCTAGCAGAATGTCACACAGAGAGGTGGCCCGACGGTCAGACATCCTTCTCTGCACACGAGCTTCAGTCCCGATGGTATTTTCCTGTTGCGTTGAAAAGGACAACACAAAGTCAGTGGTGGGGGGCAGCCAGTGGAAAGCAATTCCTGTGGACACAGGAAAGAGGGAGTGTAATACTGAGTAGAAAATCCACCTGTGGTTTATACATACAGGAGTCCTCCGCAGGACACACTGGTGCCAGCCTGCCCAGTGATGGGTTGGGTGGTGTACGAGAAGATCTCCTGCAAGTCCTAATGGTGCACAAACCATCACTGGCCCTTCTCCCATATCGCGAGTTCAGTTTTGAGCTGGGTAACTGAGGCAGCGTCACGACTCTGCATGCAGGCAGCAAAGGAACCAACACCGCTCACAGTCAGGCAGTGACATTGGCTTGAGTCCTTCGCGACCTCTGATTCTGGCACTGTCGCTTTGTGTAGCATCTCCCATACGGTCAGGTACTGGCACAAACTGGACCTAGCTCTTTGGACGGAGACTCTTTATTTGGGGGTACAACATACGGGGCAGGAAGGG